GTAGTAGTAGTCGTAGTAGTCGTAGTAGTAGTAGTAGCAGTAGTAGTAGTAGTAGTAGTAGTAGTAGTAGTAGTAGTAGTGTTAGTGACAGTAGTTGTAGTAGTAATAGTCGTAGTGGTAGTACTTTAGTCGTACTGAATCAACGCCATAGTAGTAATACTCTAGAAATCAAGCAATATACGTATTCAGAATGCCGGGTGGAGTCGCAATTCAATACTAATCTAATGCTGTAGCACTGCGATCGCATCCACGTGCTGTAGTCCTGTAGTCTTAGTATAGTAGTACTGGAGTGGTAGTTCTCTGGCAGTGTAGTAGATGTAGCATGGTGGTAGTATGCTTGTAGTGGCACGATTATACTACTGTATTCACAATAGTGTTCTAGAACTGGCTGTCGTAGTCGTACGGTAGGACTGTAATAATAAGCATACGAATGTTATTATGATGCTGTGGAACCCTGGAACTGTAGATGTACTCTAAGCCGTTCGTGACGCCGTGGTCGATCCTGTGTCGCGCGGTTCCCCTTTTTCTGCGCGACGCCAACGGATGCTCATCGTGCACGCTACCTTCTGAGGGTGCCGCTCGCGAGAAAATGGGGGATACTGATATGTCCATCGAGGTGAGGAGCCCTGCACCAAGGAAAAAACACGCCACAAGCATCGTCGATAGTTATATTTACAACCATGTCGAATTCAGCGGGGGGGAATACGCAAGCGCCCATGAAAAAACATTTCCCCAGATTCCCCATTTTGTATATTATCTAAATTGTTTTCTTCCCCCTCACTTCCCAAATGTTTCATATTTTCTTTGGGATCGACAACTGCTTGTGTCTGTGTCTTTTTCCCCTCCTGATACTCAGCACCGCATCCCCACTGGGAAAGCTATGGCCCCGCTGCCTGACCTGCCCCGCTGCCTGACCTGGCTAATCGGGTCCGACTTCGGCTCTCCCGAGACGAGGAGGAAAGACAAAGCCAGGACGAAGATAACAGAGAGAATCTCTGAGATCCGGTGGCTCTGGAAGACGCCTCGGGCGTCGCGGCAATCGGGTGAGGAGAAATCGAGAATCTCTGAGATCCGGCGGCTCTGGAAGATGTCTCGGGCGCCGCGACCTTCTCAAAGCGTTGCAGAACGCTCCGAGAGCGCTCCGGAACCCTCTGGAACCGATTGCACCCCCAGCCGAGCCCATTCGAAGGGGGCTCCGCCGCGGAGCCCGCGCACGCCAGCGCCGACCGCACGCAGCCGCGCGCCCGAGTGCCCGCGGCGCGCACGACGGGTCTGCCGCTTCTGGGAGGCCTGGACCAGCGCGCGCCCCTCGGGCAAGGGGCCACTGCTGGGGGCCCTGAGGACTTCTAGGAGGGAAGGATAATGAGGGGGAGGGCGAGTTTTATTCCCCGCCGAGAGTTTGGGGGGGAGTAGTCCAGCATCGAAGACCTCCTGAGTTTTAACGGGGGATGACCTAGTTGGGGGGTGAAGAGAAGTGCCCTGAAAGGGACCTTTCGGGCCCCTGCTGGCTCCCAAAAAGGGCCCAACCAACAGGGCTCCATCAGGGCCCCGTTCTTCACCCCCCATTCAAAGCACCCCCCACTACCACCCGCCCGACCCCCCAGCTTCGGGCGGATGAGAATGTTCCAAACCCGGCGTCTTACGGAAAACTCATGTCGTGGCGACTTCGGCACTAATCTCTGGCGCCGCGTGGACCGCTCAACCTTGGGCGCTTGCGGCTTTCCGATGGCGCAGCTCCTTTCGACAGCTGCAGCTTCTGGGCCGCTGGAAGCGCTCAACTTCGAACGACTGCGCGGGGGTCGCCGCCGCGTCGACGCGGCGCGGACATATAGCGTGGATCAGCTTCGGCCTCCAGGGGTCCTTTCCTCCCGTCCTGGGGCCACCCAGCTCGGAACGCTCTGCTCACGGAGAAGCAGTCGAATCTGGACAACTACAGCCATCCCCATCCCCGCACGGGGAACCTTTGCCCTGCTGGCCGACCTTGCCCCCTTTGGGTGGGGATGTGTGCAGTGCTCGGGCTTCGCAGCAGCAATCACCGCTCAGACGGGGTACGCTGGGAGAACTGATTCACAATCCCTCTCCCAGTCGAGATTGGTGGCGGTTCTGATAATGATGATGGAGACCTCCCCGAGGGCCGAGCCAATCAGAGGGGGCATGTGCGCCGATCCTGGGTCCAGGGCCGGGCTGCGCTGCAGAGGTGAGCCGGTCAACTGACGTCCTCGGGGCCCCTGCAAATGACCACCTACCAACCACCCCAACCCAGCCCGCAAGGAGCATACGTGTTCCAGCCGTGTTTTTCAATGGTCCGGAACGACCCCCACTGGGAGTGGAGGGGAACTTGGGGCCTTCGGGTTGGGTTGGGGTTGTTCGACGAGTAGGGAGCGGAGGAACAAACAACATAAGAAACAGTAAGCTTTCGAACGTCCGCGCGGATTTCTTGGATCGGCGCTGAAATCCCTCCCCCGGGGCGCGGAAGCGCGCCAGGGGCGGCGCTAGAGGCGCCGCCAGGGGGGCCCGGCGCAGCTTCAAGAAACCCGCGCGGGGCTCCGAAAGTTTGTGTTGATGGCGTTGCTTTTTTTTCGACGCTGGGGCCCGTGGATCGAAAGGCGCAGTCCGTCGAAAACCTAGGGCCCCGTCACAGCGCGCCGCCACTGGGCGCCCCACAGCCGGGACGCCCTCTGGCGTCCTCGAGGCGCTGCCGCAGGGGCCGGAAGCCGGCGTGGTACTTGCCGAGGTCGATGCGGGGCACCTCCTCGAACCTGGGGAGGCCAGACCACTCATCGACGCCGCCGCCGAAGTCTGAGCCGCCTCCACCTGAGGGAGGCGGTCCCGCGATCGTGGCGCCGGCGGTGTCGCGGAGCACACTTGGAGGCCAGTCCTCACATCGACACCACCGCTGATATCTGGGCCGCCTCCGTCTGGGCGGCGAACAGAAACGAGCCTTACGCGAGATGGCGAAACGCCCTTACGCGCTGGCGTACGCGGGCCGCCAGCTCAGCACGCCGCGCTGGCAGCGGGGGCGCTTGCATGCGACCTTCCGCGGGCCGCTTGGGCGCGAGTGCCCGCGAAGTCGAGCCCATTGTTGCGGGGGCCCCCTGAGGGAGGCGGCCCCGCGATCTTCGCGCGGACGGTGTCCCAGCCAGGCCCCTCGAGCGGTCCCAACGAACAGGTCGCCGCCGCGGCCGCGAGCGGGGCCGCCCTCCCTCGGCGCGGGCGGCCCCCTGCTCGCGGCGGTGGGTGGAGCTCCGACGTGGTGCGTTTTCTTGCAACGTGGACCTCTGGAGGTCTGGACCCCCTTGCGCGAAAAGCGCAGCATGCACCGTACTCTGCCTGAACCCCATTTCAGGCCCCACCCCAGCGCTTATCAGGCGCATGCGTATAGCATGTCCAATACAACTATGCACCCTACCGTTCCTTGGCCAAAGATCGACGGCACCTCGGGAGACGCAAATGTGGTACGGCGCACTGAGGTCGTCCACGGACCCGCCCCTGCAACAGGTGTCTCATCCCGAGTCGTTTTTGACGGTCCCTGGGAGGGAGGGAGGAGGGAGGGAGGAGGGAGGGAGGAGGGAGGGAGGAGGGAGGGAGGGAGGAGGGAGGGAGGAGGAGGGAGGGGAGGGGGAGGAGGGAGGGGGGGAGGGAGGGTCCGGTGAGGGCCCCCCCAGAAGCAGAACATGACCGACGACCTGCCGTCGTGACTCTCTCACAACGTGGCGTCGGCGCGTAGGCCTCCCAAAAGGGACGCTGGAAATGGGTACGGGAAAAAAAGGTGCGATGCTCCTCCTCCTCCTCCTCCTCCTCCTCCTCCTCCTCCTCCTCCTCCTCCTCCTCCTCCTCTCCTCCCCCCTCCTCCTCCTCCTCCTCCTCCTCCTCCTCCTCCTCCTCCAAAACCGATAGCGGCCGCTGTTGGCCAGGCGCTGTTCTGTCCCAAACGGGCCACGGCCGCGGCAAGAACGACAGCGAGTCCTGCTCAAGAAGACAGGAATTGCTGTCGGTCCTCGTACCCATTCTTGCCGTACTCATTTTCGGCGGCGAGCCGGGGGAGGAATGCAGAGTGGGCGGGCCTTCTCAGAAGGCCCGGACGGCCTCGGGCCTTCTGAGAAGTCTTCTGAGCCTTCCCCGAAGACACAGGGAATCTCTCAGAAGGCGGGAGGGCTTCTGAGAAGACCCCCTCCCCCTTCTGAGAAGGCCTGCCCCCTCACTTCCCCCCCCAAGGCGCGCCGCCGACGGTGGGCGCGCTTCTTCCTCCCTGCGCCAAGCTCCGGGTTGTGGGTCCCCCCTCCTCCGACGTGCAGCCTGCGACGACCGGTCGCGCAGGCCCGCCTCGGAGCGGCAGCGCCGTCCAGACCAAGAGGAGGCCGGCGGCGCCACGACGTGATGCGCTCGGGGCTCCCTCGACTCTGGGTTTCCCCGCTGGGCTCGCCGCCGACGTCTCTGTGGACTCCACGCGCGAGATGGGCACGGAAGATACGGGCACGGATGCCCAACAAGAAATGTGGTCCCAAACCGACAGCGGCCGCTGCTGGGCAGGGGCGGCCTCCGACCACGGCCGCGGCGAGGCCGACAGCGCACTGCACTCGTCGTGGACGAGAGCTGCTGCTGGCCCGTGTGCCCACTGCGTCCGTATGCCCACTTCGATCGCCCGAGCCCCGCTCGTGCCGATCCGTGTCGGGTGCTGCCGGGCGCCCCCGGGGGCGTTCCAGGCCCGGGAGGCCCCCCCCGGCCTCCGGCGCACCCCTCACGAGGCCCAGGGGGCCCAGGGGGCTCCAGCGTGGAGCGAACAGGTGGGGGCGCCCCAAGCCAGGGGGGCACCTTCCGCGAGCCCCGCCACCGATCCCTGCGGCCCGCGGCCCTGCCCTGCCGCCGCCCCTCCCCTGGCCCGCCGACTCCTCTGGGACTCGCTCTGGGCATGCCCTGGTAGCCTCGGGGAGCCTGGCCAGTCCTCTGGACTCCGGGGGACTCCGCTGGGCCTCTCCGGGGATCCCCCCGCACTCCTCGGGGGGAGGGGGAGGGGGAGGGGGAGGGGGAGGAGGAGGAGGAGGAGGAGGAGGAGGAGGAGGAGGAGGAGGAGGAGGAGGAGGAGGAGGAGGAGGAGGAGGAGGAGGAGGAGGAGGAGGAGGGGTTCTCGCCCGGGGAGCCGCGGCAGCGCCTCCCGGATCACCTCCGCCTGGTCGGCGGTGAGGCGCCGCAGGCCCCGCAGCGCGCGCCACGCGTAGCAGTACGCACCCTCCGGCCGCAGCCGCTCCGCCGCAAGGGCGCCGGCGGCCTGGGCGATGTGCCGCGCGAGCTCGTTCGGCGGCGGGCCCGAGGGGGGGAGGAAAGACTGGTCTACTCTGTAAGAACGGTTTTTTGAAGGCAGATCTGCCTTCAAAAAACCGGTCTACTCTGTAAGAACGGTTTTTTGAAGGCAGACCTGCCTTCAAAAAACCGTTCTTACAGAGGGGGCTGCAGAGCCAACCCGCCAAGGACGCACGGGAAGGAGTCAAGGGCCACGGAAGGCCATGTCGGCCCTTCGCGGGCGCGGCGCGGCCAGCGAAAGCGGCCAAGGATGGGCCAAAGAGGAAGGATGTCATTGTAACCTTGGAAGGTCGCTCATCCTTACCGGACGGACGGACGGACGCTGCAGTTCGCGCTGGAGCGCGGCCCTCTAAGAGCGCAGCGGAGGCGCCGGGGCGCCGGGTTGACTGTAACCAGCCTCGAACTTACCCCCATCCCTAAGATCGGCGAGCCCAAGGCCATGGCAATCCTGGGGACGCGTCCTCAGAAGCTGAGGGGGTCCTTGAGATCGGTACCGATGTGAGGTGATGCCAGACATAGCTCATGGGGATAGGGGTATGTCTCAAGCTGGTGAGGGGCGGGCCTTCTCAGGAGGCTCGGCAGGCCGTAGGGCTTCTGAGAAGTTGTCCAGGCCTTCTCCGAGGGCACACCCCACCAACTTCTGAGGAGGCCTGCCCCCTCTCACTTCCACCCTGGGAGCGCCGCCGACTCGTCGTCGGAGCGCAGAAGCTCCAGGGCGGGCACCAAGTCTGCAAGGTCGTTCTGGATCGGCACAACGATCCAGGACAAGAAAGCGGTATGAACATGTAGGCCAACAAATGCGAACCCTACCCCTGCAGGTACAGTCAAAACTGATAGTAACCATGTGACCATGTGCGAGCCCTTGGCCGCCCAGGTCGAGGCTCTTCGAAAGGGAAGGGGCTGGCCATCGAGAGTGGTTAAGGATGGATCGAAGAGGCAGGGATGCAATGGTACCATTGGGAAGGTTGCCCATCCATACTATCGGTTTCGACTGTAATATTTCTGATAAGTCAGCATGTCTACAGCCAGGTGAATCCCAACGGGGGTGTCCGATACCCCAGCGTCGATCGGACCAGTGGGGATAAGGTTCTCACGTGGCCGCATAACATCAACTGTCGAAAGTCCGCACTGGCTTCTTGGACCCCTTCCGCGCGAAGCGCGCCAGCGGGAGAGAGCAAGCGCCAATCCAAGAATCCGAACGGACCTCAGAAAGTTTATGTTTATGCCGCTTTGTCTTCCTCGAGAAGTGTTTCCACGGCTCCAGGGCGGGGTAGAAGTTCGACGATCCTCAGGACGTTTGTTAGCGCCAGCGTGTGCTTGTCCACCGAAGCCTTTCAATGAGACGCAGACAACGAAATAAGGGCCGACACTGGCTGCGTGCACGGAGGTAGGTACAAACCAGGCGAACACTTCTGTTGCATCTTTGGGGGACCTCATCGGTCCCATAGCACAAACCATCCTTGTCGCAGGCATGTCGAATCCATGTCGAACCCGTCGCATCCGTCTGTAATCCATTTTTCATCCGTATCGAATCCGTGTCGAATCAACGTCGAACTTGAGTCGAATCTGTGTCGAACCCACGCATGAGTGCCTGAAAGCACTCTCTCTTTCACAAGACAGGACAGGCCCCGCGAAGGTGCACAGCGAGAGCGCACTTCCTGAGGATCGTCGAGAGGTGCTCGTAGGTGGGGTCCCACACGACCAGGGGCACGGAGCCGGAGCGCAGGACGTGGGTCAGCTGCGCCGACTGGGTGACGCCGGGCACGACCAGCACGAACTTGAAGCGCGGCGCGTGGCTCCAGAAGTCCTGAAACTCCAGGAGCCGAGCCCTGGCGTCGTGCAGTATCCTCTGGACGGCCGGGGTGGACCACTGGATCCGGCCAAGGGTGGCGTGGATGCTCGTGAAGGCGACGTCGAACAGGTCTGGCGTGCTATTCGCCAGGCGCATCAGTCGCAGCCGTGGCTGGAACAGCGCGGTGCTGAGGAGGCTCGTCGACGGGCCGATCAGCGAGCCTCGCCACCACGCCTTCGGGATCCTGTCTGGCCAACTCGTGCCTCCCAGCGTCGTGTTGTCCAAAACGCCGTCCATCAGTGCCCTGAGGTGGTAGGGCGCAGGCCAGGGGATGGACCAGAAGGCATCCGACCCCATAGGGTGGAAGATCGGGACATTCGCATACAGAACCTTCGACGCGATGGGCTCGTCGCCGAAGCCGAGCAAGATGTGCACATCGAAATCGAAGACGGTCGACAGGTCCTGCAGAAACCCTAGGGCGTCTCGCAGGTCGGCGTGCCTCTCGAGGCCGCCCTGGGAGATCGGCGCGGACATCGAGACAGGCACGCAGGCGCGCGCGTACACCTTCCCGGCGTGCAAGATCACCGCGAACACCCCGAGCGGCGCCACGCGCCCAGCGTTGACTTGGTTCTTCCCCACGCGGTTGCAGAACTCCGGCACGGCGGTGGCCAGCAACGGCTCGCCCCCCCACCAATGCGAGAAGGCCCGCGGTCGTTTGGGCACCCTTAGGGCGGGGGGGGCCCAGGAGCAACCGAGCGGATCCTGGCCAGAGGAAGCAAAAACATGCCGAGACAGGGTCGATCCTCCCTACGTCTGGGCCTCGGTCCCGGAATGCGACGCCAAGCCTCGACAAGCCCGCCGGTGGGCGGGGAGGCGGTGCTGCGCCAACATCTGGCCCGAAAAGATGGGCCGGGTGTTCCTGGACCCCTCCCAGGGTCCATTCTGGCCAGCCTTTCGAGCTGCGCGAGTCGCCCAGCCTCGACGACGAGCCGACGACAGCGCTGGTGGCGGTGTCGTCGTCGCCCCCGGAGGCACGAGAAGCACCCGCACCTGTCCTCGTGGGCCCTCGCGCGGCCTCCCGCAGCTTCCGCGGACTCCGCGTGGCGGGTGCCGCGCCGCTGTGCTTGCCGCGGAAGGTGCGGAGGGCGGAGATCGAACGGGCAACCGCACGCGAAACCCCACCCCAGCAGGTCGGAGGGCTGCAACACGTGCAGGGGCCGGGCCCGTGAGTCCTCGCAGAGTTGAAGGCTCTGGCCCGCGCGAGCGCGCCTCAGCTTCGGGCCGGGCCGGGAGCCCACACGCAGCCCCAAAATCTGACCCGAGGCAGGCCCGAGTGGGCGCATGCTTCCGCCCCGGGGCAATCGATCCATCGCGGGCCCGCTGGCCCGCATATGCTTTCTGCACAGGTTATTCGGATCGGCGTTGGACCCCCTCCCTGGCGCGCTTCCAGCGCGCCAAGGGCTGCGCTGGAGGCGCCACCGCAGGGGCCCATCGCCGCTCCGAGGAATCGGAGGGAACCTCCGCAAAATTACGTTCACCCCGTCCCTCGTTCTCCGAAAACTGGCATGAAAGCAACGGGCCTCTCAAGTTGTTTTTTGATGGTCCTGGGTACCGTGGAAGGCCCCGGTGGCCCGGAAACGGCGGAAAACTGGGGGCTCCATCAACCTCCGATTCCTGAAAGCCGACATTGCGAATCAATTTAGCATCGCGACAAAACACGACCGGAGCCCGAAAAATCCGATCTTTCTGGGGCATTATTCGAGCCGCTAGATCCATCTGTGGAAGTCCCCGCCCTACAACACACGTGCTAAAACAGTGTGTAAAACAACACAGCGCCCCGATCTCAGGGATGCTTAGACGAGCACGTGTGAACCCCACCCTGCAGGTCAGAGTTCTGAGACGCCGGCTCGGGTTCAGAACGTGAGGGATGCCTGCGGCCAAATGAACCCTGGCGAGAGTGTCCGATAGTCCTGCGAAAAGTGGGCCTGCCGGGGTGAGGTTCGCAAATGGTTGCAAAATTCTGGTTCTCCGCAGGGTGGGGCCGTCGGCACGAAGTCGAATTCGAATCGGATCGGCCCGGACGCACAACAACGCCGAAGAAACAGCGGGCCACACCTGGCCGTCGGGCCGTCGGAATCGAATCGGATCGAGCCGGCTTGCAAGAATTGATATCGAATCGTACCGACCGCTGCGAGAAGGCCCCATACGGAGCTCCACCGAAGGTCCCCGTGGCACCGTCCGCATGTGGGCGGCGCACCCTCTTCGGCACACCCCTCACGCGTTTCGTGGCCCCATAGAAAGCTCCACCGCAGGCCCCAGTGGCACCGTCCGCATGTTGGTGGCGCACCCCCTTCTGGGGAGACCAAGAAGTACCGCTACCGCTGCTCCCTGACCTCCCCTAGGGTGCGATCTGACCAGAACTTCGAGGTGAATCCAGCAGTGGCGACGAGTGCCTCCCAGGAGGCCCAAGAGGCAACATGAGGAAAAGGTAGGAGAGTTTGGGTCCCTTCTCCTCCTCTGACCTCCCGCACACCCATCACACGTTTCGTGGGGCCGAACGACCGCGGCGAGAAGGCCCTCTCGAGCGCCGGCTCAGCCTCCGGGCACCGCAGCAGCCCAACCGCGGCGCACTCCGCGGGCGGCTGGTCCGCCGCCACCGCCGCGGCCTGGCAGGTTGCAGTCTCGGGGCAGCTGCCGAGCAGGGAGTCGGCGCCGTGGCCGGTGGGCCACGAGGAGGCCTCTACAGGAGGCATCTGCACGAGGGCGGCCGCTTGCAGAAGGCATCTGCTGGAGGCCTCCCAGATGGGGTCGACGCTCATCCGCCTCATCCCTCATATCTGTCTCTGTCCCTGCTGCTGCTGCTCCTCATCATCATCCCCCCGCTCCCTCTCTTCGCCATCCAGCTAGTCCTCCCCCTTCCTCCCTCACAAGCCTCCCAGATGGGGTCAGAGCAGATGGAGTCGAAGGATCGATCGCCCATGTATTACCTATGCGACTGCGATGCATCGGCGAGGTCGGCATGGAGAAAGACTTGCTCCACATCAAGATGCATCGCCGATGCATCGGCGATGCGGCGCGATCCTCACATCAAGATGCATCGCCGATGCATCGGCGATGCGGCGCGATCCTCACAATCTACTCGGACCCCATCTGGGAGACCCAGATCGGGGCCCAGATCTACATAGGGGGAAATTCGACGTTCGGGAGCTCTCGTCGGTTCCTAGACAGGTTTTCCAGCCAGGGAATGCTTTCCAGCAGCTGCGCTTCGCCGGGAGCTTTCTGGCAGTGCCCAAATCGTCCCGAAAGGCCGCCAGATGTTCGAATAGGAGTTCGACTACAACATTCATTGACCCCAAAATTTTGTTCGTCGGATCTACGGGAATTGCGCGTACGTGTTGCAGATGTGCGAACATTGTACGCATGTGTCCTGTGTAGCTTCTGCGAACCTCTACACCCTGGTGGACATCAGTTATGCAGTCGATCTCCTGCTCGAGAGTTATGGCCCGAAGGCCAGGTTCGGCGGCGCGCCTACAGCGGGGGAGAGAGGGGAAAGCAGAAAAGGCGGGCCCTCTCAGAAGGCTTGGGGAACATCGAGGGGTCCAGGGGCACACACATATACACACATCCCGGGATTCCCTTTTCGTCTCCCCCCCCCATTTCCCATATTCTCCCATATTTCCCAGGGAATGGACGATTAATTGTGTCTGTGTGCTTTTTCTCTCCTGAAAACAGCCGGCCATCTGAGGAGTACGCCTCATCCGGGGCCCCGCCGACTTCTGAGAAGGCCTGCCCCCTCCCTCGGGGGTGGGCGAGAGGGTAGGACAGCAAAGGGTACTGCAGAGACTCAGCTCACGTAGCTGGTTTTCCTGGCGCCTCCTGCCGCCGGGAGGCGCCCCTGTATCGAGGCATGGGCCTGGCGGCGGGGCGGGAACTAGCTGCATGCAGCAAA